TCCCAGTCTGCTGGAACCGCAGCAGCCCTCAGCCTATGTCTTGGACTCTGTTCCCCCTGTCACTCACATGTGGGTTTGGCAGTGGGGTTGTAGACATCGAGTTCTGACCTTTACCTGTTCTTGTTCCACTTGTTTTTAGCTTTGGCTATTTCCTGGTCCCTGCTCCTCTTCCATCTGCTCCTTTCCCGTTCCAGAGTTGGCACTTGGCTCCTGCTATAAGCCTGGCCCAGCCTGGCACTTTGGGATCAGCTGACACTGATGGCTCCAGCCAGCACCGCACTGTGGACTCATCCACAATTTGTGATTCTGTTTTCTGGCCTGGTCTCCTAACATCCTGCTTCACCTCCTGAATGTAGTTTCACATAAGTTCTTTGGATTTAACTCACTCTTCTGCCCCGGTTCTGATGTTGAATCCAAAAAGGTATTAGAAAATTGCAGTTACTGACCTGCCCCACCTGATATAGGAGGGTAGGGGCACTCAGAGCAGGTGAAGAAGGCCATAGAACTGGGTAAGATGTCTATGGTATTGTGATCTTGAGCTGAATGCCAGCCACACCAATGGACAGAAAATTGTCAAGGTGCTTCCGAAGGAGGAAACACTTGCCTGGTTTCTTATACAGTGCAGCTTGTGCCAGGTCAATAATTCCACTTCTAGACTGTGAATACTCTCTTTGTTCAAAGCCATCTGTTTATTTTGGTGTGTTTTACACCATGGCCAGCACACACAGCTCTACAACTTTCTCTTCAGCTCATCTTTTACTTCTTCCTTTCTTTCCTAGCAAGGGTAGGAAAGGGTAAAAGTGGACATCTGAAGTCTTTAAACAAAAGGAATGTATGTCTGAGATTTTTAATAATCAAATGTATCTCCTTTTAGAACACAGGGTACTGGAGAGCCTTGGATGTATCTCTCTGTTCCTTTCTCTGCAGCACTATGTGGCAATGGGGGGTAGGAAGGAGAAGAGAACTGATTTAAGGGAGGGCCTCTAAGTGCCAGGCAATGAGGAGGGTACCTGGAAATAGTATCTTATTTAAGACTCACAACAATCCCCAGAATTAGGTACTATTACCTCATTTTATAGGGGAGGAAATAGACAGAAAACTTATAGGACTTGCCCGAGGTCATGCAGGTGGGACTGGGAGCTGGAACTTGAACCCATATACTGCTATATGTGCCTAACAAAAGTGGAACAATGAAATGCTTGTTAGAAAATCAGCTAACTAAAACTGTGGTCCAGAGCATTCCAGGCCTGTTACCTCTTTCCTAGGACAAGGGCTGACATGGGCTTCAGAAACCCTGAGTTTGTTTCTTAATGAAGGCTTAAAAGTTTAAAAGGAACTGCAGTTGTAGCTGGAGGTTGCCGCCTGCAAATTTGCTTTTTTAGACTGTGTCTTGAATTAATTAACATTCTCAGAGCTCTTTAAGATCTAAGATAAGAGATGTCATAGATGTGACAAGTGTGACTATAACACCACCCAAAAAGCAAGGGAACATTCTAGAGACAGTATTGGGTCCTGGCTTATGCATAGGTGGGCCCCACTGGCCTGCAAGGTATTCGGAAGGCCCTGCATTTGGAATCAAGTCTCTTCCCTTTGGAGATGCTCCAAAGTGAAATTCTACAGGGAGATTTCCATGCTTGGGAAGAAGTTTCTGACCCTCACTAAAATATAAATGCCTCTGGGAGGTATTAATGGTTACTTCTACTTTTACCTGCATGCAAAGGAATTTCATATTCTGTCCAGAAATGAAGTTTGGTTAGAGGGAGAGAAAAGCCAAGGACGTCAGGTGCCAGGGGATGGGAGGAGGAAGGCTGCACTGCCTGGAGGACAGAAACAGACAAGTCCAAGACCAACTCTACCCAATCCAGAATTTTGCTTGAGGTTGTTCCTTAGAATAAGACAGTATTTTAATTCTAAGGTTAAAGGCCCAGATACAGGCACAGATTTAGACTCTAACTGCAAACAGGTATTGGAGACTTGGAAGTAGATGGGAAACTTCTAGGGAAAGAAAATATGAGCATAATGAATGAGCAAAGGGCAGAAAGGTATTTCAGAAATGAGGTTGAAATGACTTCCCAAGGCAGGGAGTAAAGACAGAGAGCCAGAAAAAAGCAACAAGAGATCCACATAGGGTGGGAAGAAGATTTGGAAGCATCTTATGTTTCTCAATTATCTGACAAGACACAGAAAATGCTCTGTGTTGGCATTTTCACCCTGATGGCTTTACCCTCCTCACAACACCCCTAAGAGGTGGTTGTTATCCATTTTACATGGAGAAGCTGAGGTTCACAGAGGGAAGTCACATATCCCACCAGTTAGCAGGTGGGACCTGGGATCCGGGCATTCTGACTCCATGACTGTGCTCTTCCCATCAGCCCATGGATGCTTCCCACATACATCATTATCACGGACGCAAGAAACCAAGAGAGGTGAAGGAACACAGTGGAAAGAACCTGAGCTGTAGAGCCAGCAGGTCTGAGTTTGAAGTTTGGCTCCAACATTCATTAGTTGTGTGGCCTTAGCAATTGTTTGCCCTCTTTTTCCTCCTCGTTTTCTTAGTTGCAGAATAAAGTGAGAGTTCCTGCCTCTTACACTTTTAGAAGCCTTACTCATTTCACACTTGCAATGCAGATGATGATGAAAATCATAGTAACACATATTGAATAATTACTATGTAACAGACACTGTTTTAAGCATGTCCCACATATAAACATATTTAATCCTTACAACTCTGTTAGATGATCATGAGCCCTGTTTTACAGATGAGGAAACCTGCACAGAGAAGTTCAGTGAGTTGCCCAAGGTTCCATACGTAGGAAGTGGGAAAATCACATTTAGTAAGAGGCACAGATGAACCCCTGGGATCTGCAAGGATTGGGGAAATGGTGACCCTGTGCCATCACACTCAACTGCCCAGTCTTTGCTCAGGTGGGAGCTCAGCACGTAATGTTGACAATGATCAGTTTCTTCTTCTTGGTCCTCCTTGCCTTGATCATTGCCCACTGAGGAGGCTTCTCTCTCTCCCTCCGGCCCTGATTTCCCCTTGCTGCTTTTCCACTGCATCGCTTGTGACTCAGTTCAGCACTCCTGTCAGGCTTCCTTTTACTAATCTGGTCTTGACTCCATCATTCCTCACCAATCCCCAATCCCCACAGGACTCCCAGCTTGGTTTCTCTATTTCTGGGCACCCCCTCGCTTCCCTAAACTCGCTTCTCAAAGTCCAATTCTTCTCAAAGTCCAAAGGCAACTTCTATTGGTTTCAGCTCTCTTAACTTCTACCTCCTGGAGCACTTGGCCCAGTGGGACGTGGCAAGAGCTCTAGGCATGTCTGCATGTCAGACTATGAGGGATGCTGGACGTGACCTTTAAGACTGCTCTGTCTCTAAGCAACTACTATTATCAAGCAAACAGAGCTGGCAGTATGCTGGGCCTGGTACAGGGAACCAGGGTCAGAGGAATGTGCATCTGGAGCTTTTGGTCACTTGCAGTCTCCAGACCCAATATGGCCAGGTGGCTTCAAGTTTGAATTCCAGGGGCAAACCTGTCAATTCAAGGTCTTGGAAAGTAAACTGAGCCTCCACAGCTGGTCTTCTTGCTGCAAGAAGCCCACTAAAAAGAGCTTTGGAGGAACTTCCTCCTCCCCAATTGAAGAAGCTACAGGTGGTGGCAGTCAAATGACTGGATGAAAAACAAGCCACTTTGGTTAGGGCAAGCCTGGAAGAGTAGAGATCCAGAAAAACCCACACCTCTATGGCCTAAAAGCGGGTCAAAGAGTGTATGGAACTTGTGACACTACATGGCAAACACTCGGGAGCCGTTGCACAGCAGCGTAGCCAGCAGCCGCGGAGAGTAACCCAGAAGGTAAACGCCCAGCTCGTCTCTGCCCGGAAGCTCTTCTGTGCGGCTGCTGCCCTTTGAACCGCAGGGCCTTCCGAAGGTGGAGCCGTCGCGCCCCCTCCCCTCCCTTGCAGGGCGGCGGGCGGGGTCGGCGCTCTAGGCCTGGAGGAGGGAGCGCCCTGCCTACTTACACCCACCTCCCCAAAGCTCCATTTAGCGCAGGCTGTTCTACTTACCCTGTAGCTTAGCAACCTGAGCCCCTGACAACAGATTCACTGGCAAAGCTTTACTCTCTCCACGCAGGTTTTGTCTTTTCTTCTTCCTTCCTCCTCTCTTTCCTACCTGCTTTATCCTTTCCTTCCTCCCTCCCTTCCTTTCTTCCTTCTTTTCAAATAGTCAAACCTTTGATTATAACAAGGCCTTTGTGAATCCCTTCCAATGCTGACTTCACCTGCTCTAGCTTGCATGGACTCCTGCATGGACACCTGCTTTCTCTGTGGTCTTCCAACCTCAGGTCTCATACTAGTCCCACCTCCATACTGCAGACAGCTTGATCTTTCTAAAGCACAGTTCTGGTAAGCTCCCTTACTTTAAACCCTCCGATAGCTCCCAAGAGATGTTTTTGCATGACCCTCCAGCAGCTAGCCCTATCTATTTGATATCACCCCATCCTTCATCACACTGTCACACACTCTCCCCTACCAGATTATAATGCTCTGTCTTGCTTCCACATCTTTGCATACGCTGTTCACTCTTCCTGGAAAGCCTTACTTCTGTTGTGAAATGTTCTTCTAAGATCCAACTTAAAAGCAGGTTCCTCTGTAAAACTTTCCTGACTATGCTCCAGGCAGAATTGACCATCCCTTCTTCTACTTCTGTGGGTTACATATGGACCTGTACTGCAAATGTCTGTTTATGTGGTATTGTCACTAGACTGAACTCTCAGAGGACAGGGAGTATTTCTCATCCTCTAACATGTCCCAGTGCCAATCACAGTGCCTGAAATATAGAGGGTGGTCCATACATGATCCAGTGTGGATTAAGGGAAGGAAGGAAAGAAGGATGGATTATGTGATGGAAACAAGTGAATCTGAAGGAGATGAGGGAATGGAGCCCAGAGTGACATCTGACTACCAGGATGAAAATGACTTCCCTTTGATTCCCAGGTACCAAACTTGTGGATCAAAGGCAAAGCAAGGTGAGCTTCTGGAGGCCTGGCACAGGACATGGTAAGAGAAGATTGGAAGCCAAACCAGCCCATTTGTTCCTGGATCTATTGTTTGCCTGTCTCTTGCTTTGTTCTGAACCACAGGGCTGCTGACCGCTGGAGGCTTGGTGTCAGTGGCTTCCAGCTGGGTGTGACCAATGGCAGGGGTCTCATGAGGCCTGCTGCTGAGCTGTGTGTGCTAGAGCAGATGGGGGACTCATGCTGGGTGAGTGAGGAGAAGAGAAATGAGCATGTCAGATTGTGCTTCCCCACAGCCAGGTGGAGTAGCTCATGATTGCACAGGAAGCCAGGCTGGAACTGGATTCTTTTGCTGTCTTTGCCAGGAGAACTAGAAGACACCTAGTTCAACTGCATCACTCAAATTCAAGCCAGTTAATGTTTGCAAGTACATGTAGTGTGACAGGGTGATTGTTCTTTGCACAGACCTGGGTGTGTATCCGCTCTGCTACTAGCTTTGCAGACAAATTACTTACTGCCTCTTACTGCCTCATTTTTCTCATCTGTAAAATGGAATGATAAATACCCACCTTATAGAGTTCCAAGTATTTTGCATCTGATATGGCTTCAATAAAAGGAAACTATTATAACAACTGCTATTTATTAATTTATTAACTATTTGAGGCCTCTTGAGCCTAAACTCTGAGCTTGGCCTCAAGGCTACAAGTGAAGGCACAGAGATGAATAGAAGCTTGTCAGTACTTTAGGGAGCTAACATCTAGAGCAGGGATGGGCACACTATGGCCTGTGGGTCAATTTTGGTCTTGTGCCTTTTTTAAAAATAAAGTTTTATTAGAATGCAACCATGTCCTTTCATTTACATATGGTCTGTGGCTGCATGCTCTAATAGTGGAATCAAGTATTTTTGCAACTGATACCATATGACTCATAAAGTCCAAAATGTTATCTAGACCTTTATAAAAAAAGTTTGCTGATCCTTGGTCTAGATGAGTAGATAGATATATAATCAGCAGGAAGCCAGCTGCAGGAGAAGTGTAAATCATCTAAACTGATGGCCCAGAAAAAGAGAGAATTGATTCTGACTTGAGTAGACATCAGGAGTTTTAGGCCAGGCCTTGAAGGCTGAGCAGGAAATGGACCCTCAGAGCCTGGGAGTGGGGAGTTATGGGAATGGGCATGTCAGGATGGACCACAAGAGTTTGAAAGGGATATTGTGTGTATGAAGATAGAAGAAAGTAGAGATCAAGTGGCTAGTCCAAAGTCACACAACTTTGGAGTTAGAATTTGATCCTTAGGTCAATGCCTTGTAGAGTTTACAGTACCTTATATTTAGATAAGATTTCATAAAGTACAAAATACATTAACATATACTGTCTTATTTAATTCTCACAACACATTAGGAGGTAGGTATTACTAGTCTGATTTTACAGATGAGGGACACTTATTTATTAAGCACCTATGGTGTGAAAAGACCTTTATGTGGCACTAGGGACACAAGATTCATGAGCCCCATCTCCAGCTTCACAGTGTGATGGGGGAGACAGGCTCATAGCCAAGTACTCAGCACCAGAATGGAAGGGAGACCACAGCTCAGGGAGCCCGTAGAGGGAGGGAGTCAGTGGTTTGCAGTGAATGTTTGACAGTGATGCCAAATAAGCATGATGGAACTGGAGAGGGCTTTCCCAGGGTCACTATGCAGGAGAGGGGAGGGATCTGAGCCTTGAAGGACAGGGAAGAATTAAAGTTGGTTCTGGGCTTTCCCACCTGGAAAACTGATGGCATCTGTCCGACATGAACCTGAGCCTGGTCAGAGGAACCCGAGCAGGGAACTGTATGAGGACGCAGGACTCGGCTGAAGGGGGGTCCGCTCCTCCATCTTCGTCCTGCAGATATACTCGGTAAAGGAGGAAACCCACTTCTAAGGCTGGAAAATAGCATGAAGACTGACAGCCGGGAAGAGGGTCCAGCTCTGCCAGAGGAGGTGGCCCAAAAAAGAGGGGTGGCAGTAGCAGCAGAGCCAGAGGGGAGATAGGCCTGGTTAGGGTGGGAGGGTGGCTCAGGAATGAATTCTAAGAGTGACATTTGGGAGAATGACTCTAAGCATTTGGGGGCCAGGGCTGGGTTTCCAAGGCCCCATTTGCACTGGGTAGTTTTGTTGGTGGAAACACGGAAGTCTAGAAGGAGATGGGTTTCACTCTTGGATTTAAGTTTGCAAAGGGACTTGGGGTATTTTGAGGGCAACAGCACGCTGACTCTGAGGTGATAACTACACGTACAAGCCCCAGTACCCAGAGGACTGTTGCGAGATAGGAACTTGAGTTTTGGAGGTTTTTGGGTCAATAACTTTGAAGAGATGGCTGAAGCTGTGGCAGTGAGTCCATCATCTGAGGACTGTCAAGGCTGAGGACCAAAGGCCGGGGCTGGAGGAGGAGACGCTGCAGAGAAGTCAGAGGAGGTATGATCAGAGGCAGGATGAGAACCGGAGGAGGCACCTTGAAAGAAAACCTGGGGCGAGACAAAGTTTCCTTGATTCAGGAGAGGCCCAGTTTCCTGGGGAAAGTTCTGGATAAAAAGTCAGTTTTGGAGGAAAACCCATGCAGGCTCCCCAGTCAACTCACTTGATACCAAATGACAAACCAAGCTTTTCAGGGTAAGGAGCAGGGAGAGGAGTCTGTTAGGACCTTGTGGCAATTTAATCCTGTGTGAATGTCAACGCTTGGTGCCAACACTGGCACCCACGGCAACAGGGAGTCTCCCTGGCTCTTCAAGCAGCCCCGACCCCTCGAGTGGCTGTGAATCGCAGAGGGGAACAGCAGCAGCGAGAGGCGCAGAGGGCAGAAAACTGTAGGGAGCACCTTTAATGTGTGGGACTCTGGGGATGGGAGAGAGACAGGACAGAAACGACCTGAGGGAGCTCCCGAGGTAGTAGAGTAAGGGGGGCCCAGCCCTGGCTGGGGTGTGACGAGTGGCACCAGGCAGGTGTAGAATGTGCAGTAGTCTCAGGGTGGGCAGGAAGGGGGAGGCTGTGCGTGGGTCAGGGACGCCTCTATGAGGGGAAGGGCTTGAGAGAGAGGGCAGGATTTCCACAGGTGGAGCCGGGGAGGGTGACCCAGATGAGGAAGCAGCCTGAGCCCTGGGGTGAAGCTGGAAGGGTAAGCTGCAGGCAGATGGTGAAGGGCACTGGACGCTGGGTTGAGGAGTGTACATAGGAGCTTGGCAGTGGGAAGCCCCCCTGCAGGTTTAGGGCAGTGGACAGACTGACACTGATATGACTCAAAGCGGCTTTTGGAGAGTTCATAATGGAAGTGTTCCCTAGCAGGGACTGAAGTAGGAAGTGCCTGGCACCAGAGAGACCTCCTAGAAGGCCATGGCTACAGTCTAGTGGTAGCCTGAACTTTATCATTTCCTGAGAAGAACCTGGAATCCCTGGCCACCTCCTTGCCGTGCTGACCCTTACTCGCTGTGCCAGACAGGGTTCCTGATAAGGTGCTGGGTTACATAGGCCAGTTGGGCAGCCATGGCAGCTTGGTGGGTGTGTCACAGATAAGCAGGATCCTCTCTGCTGCCCTGACCATATCCAGCCGCTCTGAGTGGAGTGGCAGAGGCTCAAATAGCTGCACTGGCTTTCCCTTTCCAGGCAGATAGCTGCTTCAAAGCTCAGGCTTTTGATGAGCACTTGGTCATCTAGGGGGTCACCCTCCTTTCAGATTATTCATTTCTTTTTTATTTGTAAAGCCCATGATGTTTATGAGGTGACTTTTTTTGTTGACCACTATTTTTTTACTTTCTTTATTAAGGGGCTACATTGAAATCAAGAGTTTCATCTTTTCCAACTTTGTATACCTCATACCAGGCATGTGACATTCGTGCCAACCACGAATTCAACTAGAGAAACTTACCCTTCCTCTAAGAATTATTGTTTTGCCCCTGAGCCAGATCCCCCTGGTTAACTGGCACTACACGATCTGAAGAAGAGACAGCGTAATAACCAAATAAAAACATTCTCTTGGCATTGGCACTTCCTTCAGTAGAGAAGGAATTGTTCTCCTGTGTGGGGTTCTGTAAAGGTGTATAAAGAGTTAATTAAATCCCTGCCCACAGGACTTGGCCATATAAAGGCATTCCACCCAGAAGGAATGTGGGAGTCGTGCTGGGAAACTGGTTTCTCTGTTCTGGGGGCCTGGAATACTTGAGCCAAGGCAAATGTCTGGGGCTGCAGACACAGGGAGATGTCAGTGCCTGCAGCCACTGAGCGTGTTCTAGGGTCCCTGGCTTCCTCTGCCCTGCCTGGGTCTATAGTGCAGGTGACTCCAGATACTGACGTGGCTCCTGAGTGGGGAAGACTCCAAATAGTGATGATCATTACAGCAGCTGCTGTTTGCTGAGTGCCTGCTGCCAAGAGCTGTGTGTGTGTGAGACCTCATAGCCACCCCACCCCCCCGGCCCAGCCGCTGGCTCTTGGGCCGTGGCATCCTCCTGGAGTGCTGGACCTCTCGGCTCTCAGTGGTCTGGACCTGCTACACATCTTCTGTTTTGTCCTCAGCTGAGCCCCCAGTAGCAGCTCACAGTAGGTGCTCAAGGATGAATGAAGTTAGTTGTCTCACTTTTGCCCCAATTTGAGCATGAAGGACACAGCTCACAATCTTCTCCCTCAATTTCTCTGGCTCTATGAGGGGTGGCATTATCATCCCTTGGTTTGCCAAGTAGAACTATTTATCTTTCCTCTCCGCTTGGTTGACCAATGTTTGCTTGCTCTAAGACCTCCCTCCAAAACATTTACCCTGTGAAGCCGCTATGTTCCCTCTCAGGTCTCCCTCAGTGTGTACGTGTGTATATGCAGCTAGTTACCTGCTTTTCTGTGTTAAACAAGTGGGTGTTTTCCTTCTCCAGCTGTTTTACTCTCCTGCCATAACCTCACCCCTCCTTTGAACATTAGTTTTCATCTCCTCTTCCCTTCTTGGGAAGCTGAGCTAGTAGGAAAAATCTAAAAGCAGGTAGCTGGGGCTTTCATCCTGCCATGAAATGTTGGCACACCTGATGTTT